CCCGGAAAGGCCCAAACCCAGGTACAGAAGTGAGTGCCCATGCGGTGACACATGACCACTGGTGCGGCCTTATGGGACCTGCAGACCCCAGCTGTCACAGCGCTGGGGCCCGGCCTCTGAGAAGCCGAGGTCGGGGTGCTGTCCAGGCTTTGTAGCCAATCCTTTCACTGGGAGCCAGCTTTCCTCAGCAGCCTCTCACCTCACTTCCCGCCCCCCCAGCCAGCTTCCCTCAGCAGCCTCTCACCTCACTTCCCGCCCCACCCCTGCAGTGTGAGGGACAGGATTAGTGGTTCTCCCCAGCACTGAGAGAGAGAGAGCTCAGCTCCCTGAAACGCGGGCAGGTCTGGAAGGCCAAGGCCACATCGTGAGCCAACCACTGGCCTGGTCTGCACCACGCTGGGTCACCCTGTGCCCACCGTGCAGCTGGGGAAACTGAGGGCACTTGGGTCCCTGGTGGGGTGGTGGGGTGGTGAATGGTCTCTTTTCCGACTGCCGTTTTAAGGGACTTTACAGATGGCAGAGTGGCCCAGCCCCACATAATGACCATCTGACCCAGAGGCCCCCACTACCAAGCACCAAAGTCGACCGAGAGGAGCTGGGACCACGCAGCTCACAGAGACACTGCAGGGCACCCACAAGCCTTAGCCTCTCCCCAGAACTGCAGAAATAGAAAATAAAAGGGGAGATGGAGGAGGTGACAGAGGAGGAGGAGATGAGGAGTGGTGGAGGAGATGGAGGAGATGGAGAAGGTGATGGAGGATAAGGTGATGGAGGAGGAAGTGATGAAGGAGGAGATGGAAAGGAGATGGAGGAAGTGGTGGAGGAAATGGAGGAGATGGAGAAGGTGATGGAGGAGAAGGTGATGGAGGAGGAGGTGATGGAGAAGGAAGATGTGGAGGAAGAGATGGAGGAGGAGATGGAGGAGGAGGTGATGGAGGAAGTGGAGGAGATGGAAGAAGAGATACAAGAGTAGGTGGAAGAGGAGACAGAGGAGAGGGTGGAGGAGATGGAGGAGGAGGAGAAGGTGGAGGAAGTGAAGCAGGAGATGGAGATGAAGGAGGAGGAGATGGAAGAGGAGAAATGTTGGAGATGGATAAGGTAGTGATGGAAGAGATGGAAAAGGTGGAGGAGGTGATGGAGGAGGAGCAGATAGAGGAGGTAAAGGAGGAGGGGACAGAGGAGGAGGAGGAGATGGAGGAGGAAGGGGTGGAGAAAGAATATCTCAGGTAAGGAAGTGACCAGAACTGATGGTAACATCCATCTTTCCAGGACTCTGGAGGCTGAGGCAGGGGGATTGTGGTGAGTTGGATGTCACACTGCTGAGCTGGTGGCCCAAGCCTGTCATCCCAGCACAGGGAGGTGGAGGCAGGAGGGCCAGGAGTTCATCTACTTGGCTACCGTTCAGGATCAGGAGGGCTATCCTTGGCTACATGGTCACCTTGAGCCAGCCTGGGCCACACAAGACCTTGTCTCACACAAGAGAAGCTTCGGTGTCTCCCATGGGTGACCACCTTTCCCTGTGAGCAAGTTGCCACACTGCTGGTGTGTCCTGTCACCCACCTGCTGGAAAACTGAGTCCTGGGGGCTGCTGTGAACGGCAAGGGTTCAAGGTCACAAATAAAGCGCATCTTCCAAACCCTGGCGGGGCACTGCCCGGACCTCGTGCGAGGGCACGGCCGCCCGCCTGCCGGTTACTCTGTACTCCACACCACGGGCAGCGGGACAATGCTGGATCCTGGGACCCCACGGGCCCCAGAGCTGCTGTGCCCGCCAACGCACCACTGACAGCTCCGACAGGAAGGAAGAATTCAGCCAGGCACCGTGCCCCATGTCCACCCGGGAGGCTGAGGCAGGGGGATGGCGTGTTTCGGGCCAGCCTGGGCTACAGAGCAAGATGGTCTCGTGTGGTGTGTAGGCAAGGAGAGGATGTGGAGACAGGGTCTCACTGTGTAGACCAGGCTGGGACTGAGGGCAGTGCAAGCCAGGAGAACGCTCTCTGCCTCACCTCAGGTTTTATCTGAGGACTGGGGGAGCCTGAGGACCCTGGTTTAATGTTCTCGAGAAAACAGGTCACAGTGGCAGTGTGGCTGAGCACCGGAGGCCTGGATCACGGGACAGGCGGAGGGTCAGGACAAGGGTCCGCTGCTGCCCGGGAGGCCGCCACTCCACAGTCCAAACCGATTCATTCCCCAGAGGTTCTGGTGACCAAACCCTCCCTGGGGGCAGAGACTCCACACCGCGGCGGTCCGGTTCTGGCTGAAGGAGAACCCATGTTTGACCGCTGCTGCCCGCCACACGCTGTCCCCATCACGGCCCCAGCCAGGGTCTCTGCCACAGGACATTTGCACAGCCCACACCTCTGCAGCCACTGCTGTGGCCCAGCTCTCAGGGACGGTCCCTTCGGTTTCAGTGACCTCGTCACACTCTCCTGTTTGGTCTCTGCAGGGTGAGCCACGGCAGGACTCACGGCCACCTCCCAGCTCAGAGCCTACCCGTTCATCTCAGGGACGCTAGCAGGTGCTAGCCCATTTGAGGATTTAAAAAAAACCCTCTGCAGAGGGGAGCGGCCCCGCCCACAGGGGGTGCTGACTCAGAGGCCATGCATGACATCCCGGCTCCCGCTCTACAGAAGGCATGGCAGCCCCTGCCTGTCCTCATGGCTCTCGGGAGATCAAGGCCAGCCTAGGCTACACAATGAGGACCCTGCCCAGAACACAGAGAGAAGGGACAGTCATGATGGCGGTGGTGGTGGCAGCGGTGACGCCGATGACGGCTGAGGAGGTGACATGGTGGTCAAGAGCACTGGCTGCTCTTCCAGGGGACCCAAGTTTGATTCCCAGCACCACCTACAACAGTTCCTGGGGATCCGTGGCGCCCCACGCACACCGGCCACAAACCCACGCAGACACGTGCACATACACATGAATAAACAATGAAACAAGCCACAGTGAGATGCCGCCTCCTGCCCTCTAGTGAGGCTGTAGTCAGAAAACAGGCAACGTGGGCCGGTGAGAGGGCTCAGTGGGCGAAGGTGCTTGCAGCCAAGCGGGATGGCCTGAGTTCAATCCCAGGACCACACGGCAGGGAGAGAAAAGTGATTCCTGTAAGTTGACCTCTGGCCTCAACAACCACAGGCAGCACATGAGAAGTACACACGGAATATTAAAAAATAAAAACCACCACCAACGTCAGCTAAGCTGGTCATGGGAAGCCACCTGCAGCCGCCAGGGAGGGAGAAGCATCCGGCCGCTGTGGGCGAGCCTGGATTGTCCTCAGTCGGACACAGTTTCTCAGTGACTCAGCGAATCCACCCTCCGGCAGCCAGCAGGGGAAGTGAACAGCTTGGTCCACCCAAAACCTTGTGCACACACTCCCTACAGGAGCACCCGAAGCAGCCAAGGCCACGGAAGCAATGGACATCGCCCACAGGAGGAAGGGTACAGAAGCGTGATTTATCCCCAAGGAGTATTACTCAGCCGTGAACAGGAGCAAGGTCCTGACACCCCAGTGTGGAGGGACCTGGACGTGAAGGTCACAGGGCATGTGCTCCAGTAGAGGCCACCCTGAGACAGGAACTGGATTCATGGGTTTCCGGGAGGTGCTAAAGAGGGGACGGGGTGATGGAAGGTTCTGGAAGGAGACAGAGATGGAGACTGCATAGTTCTGATAAATAAACACCACAAGAGCAGTGAGTAAAGGTGCACACACCCGAGAACCTGAGTTCAATCCCTGGACCCACACAAAAGGAGAGAAGTGACCCAGAGCTGGACCACCACACGCACCCTGGCACACACAGCACACGTGATCGCCAGCCACCCCACGGATGGCAGGATGGCGACAGGAACTGTAACGTAAGCTGTGGACCAACGGCTGAGCACGCTGGGAGGCCCCAAGCGCAGATGTCAACCTTGTGAATGTTCAAGGTGGCAGGTCTGTGACCTGTGAGCACACAGGGACACCCCATGTGGCCTGGAGGCTGGGCGGGCCTGGGCTGCACTTCCTCTCCTCAGCCGCCAGCTGTCCTGGGAACAGAGAGAGGAAATCACGAGGCGGCTGTGTGTGGCGGGAGAGGTGAGGGCTGCCACACGCACCACAGAACCCTGGGGGCCAGCGGGGGACCGGCCATCGGGGCAGGGTGTGGCGGGGCCGGGGGCCGGGCGCAACCCTGGGTGGGCACCAGGACCCCACGGCCCTCGTTCTTTCTCCGGGGTGACTGTCCCTTTGGCCCTCCCACCACACAAGACAAACTTCCCCGTGGGTCAGCTCCTGCAGTAAACAGGAAGCCAGGCCAGACAGGGCGACCAGGCCACCCACGGTCCTACAGGTCCCCAGGCAGTGGGACAACACTCGGGGCCAGTGGTGCAGAGAGGAGAAGGCTCCAGCGTCTGCATGAAGAGCTGCGGGTCGGGCAGAGCCCCAGGTCGGGGCCAGGCTGTGCCCCACCAGGACCCACGGTCAGGCGGTTGGGTCCCCTTAGGCAATGTCTACCCAGGTAGGAGTTCTGGTCATTTCTCCTGCTCTGTGTCACCAGCCTGGGTTACAAGACACCCCTCCCCCCAAAAAAAGAACAAGCGGGGCTGCGGCTCAGTGGGCAGAGCACGCACCAGCCCTGGGCTCCACCCGTCCTTAGCAGCACGCGAACCGGGTGTGGTGACGCACGCCGGTCACCCAGCACTCAAGAGGTGGAGGCAGGAGAATTGGAAGTTTAGGATCATCCTCTGCTACACAGTGAGTTGGAAGCTAGCCTGGGCTACATGAAACCTAAACAAAGCACAAAGAGGGAACTGCAAAGAGTAGAAACCTCAGGACGGGAAATCTCTATCCATGATGTCAAACTGGGGACAGACAGACAGACACACTTGACAACAGCAAAACTAAAATTTGCTGATGGTCAGTAGCCACCAGAAGGGCAATGAGACACACACTGGTATCACAGAGGAAAGAGAAGGGTCCTCAATATACAAACAGCTCCTACAAACCAACAATTGGAAGCAGAAAAGATGCAGTTTCCAGAAAATGAGGCCACGCTGGGACTGGCGGAGGACCAAAGGCAGGCGCCTCGAGGCGAGCAACAGGGAGGTGAGATGGAGCGCAGTGACGGCTGACAGGACCACTATGGCAAGAAACTTCCAAACCAAACCAAACCAAACCACCGTGCATGGCATCAGGCCGGGCATCAGGTGGAGTGGCCGCAGCTGAGCCCCTGCACGAACCCAGTCCGCTGAGCCCACGGGTCCCCGCCTCACAGCAGGCCTGGCTCTGATTAGCTCCCCGCGCCGGGTCGCCAGCGTGTGGTGAGCCACCTGGACCCCAGCCCCCTCAGCACCAGGCTAGATCCAAAGCTTGCTCGGTGCGCACGCCATGCCCCGCCCCCGCCCGGTGCCCTGCCCCTGTGGCTGGGGATTACCTGTGCCCCACATCCTGCTCCCCCCCACCCGGACTCCGATGGACACACAGAGCCACTGGAAGTGCGGGGAGTCCCCTGAAGGCCTGTGGTGGTGCAGGGTCGGCCAGCCCACGAGGCCGTGGCTTTGTGGCGGCTCTGAGTTAATTCCCGGCTCAGGGTAATCCCACGCAGGGTCCCCACCTGCCCGGTCACCTGGTACAGGGGCCACTGACTCCTGGTCCACCCAAGACCCACCAGAGACCTCAACATATCCCTCAGCGCCCACCACACTATCCTCAGACACAGTGCCTATGACCAATGCTGGTGTGGCCTCAATCAAGCCCAGCTGCCAAGTCCGGGATCCCCAAACCTGCAGCACATATATATATATACACGACCATGGACACTCGGGGCTCTGCACCGCTGGGGCCCTGCCTCCCGGAGGGAGCCCCCGCCATGCAGCCCGACGCTGTCCCTGGTCATCACAAGCCCTGACATCGCAGCCCTGGCCAACCTGGTACAGTGGACCTCCTCAAGGAAGGTCGGCACTGGGCCTGCAAGATGGCCCAGTGGGGGGGAGGAGCTTGCGGCCAAGCCTGAGGCCCTGAGCTCCACTCCCAGGACCGACAAGGTAGCGGAGAGGACGGGACCCTCCGCCTCCACCTCCCGAGGGCTGGGATGACAGCTGGCCCCCCCCCCACCTGGCTTATGCGGTGCTGGGGTGGAGCCAGGGCTCTGCTCACCAATCCCCTGCCCGGGCAGCTCCTTCTCCCTCAGGCCCCCGCTTGAGGTCACCTTCACGGCTGACCCCTATCTGAGGTGCTCCCACTTGAGTCTCAGCAATCGCCCTCCAGGGGAAGCGAGCTGAGGCCGTGCGGGTCTGTGTGGCCAGCAGTCCTAACTGGGGCTGCTGGCCCGGAAACCGAACAGGGGGCAGCTGCGGCAGCCTGTGGGATGATGGGCACGGCCATGTACTGATAAAACTTTATTGCCGGGCGGTGGTGGTGCATGCCTTTAATCCCAGCACTCGGGAGGCAGAGGCAGGAGGATCTCTGTGAGTTCTAGGCCAGCCTGGGCTACAGAGTGAGTTCCAGGACAGCCAGGGCTACACAGAGAAACCCTGTCTCGAAAAACCAAAACCAAAACCAAAACCAAAAAACTTTATCAACAAAACCTAGCATGGGGGCTGCAGTTCGTCAGCCCAGGTCCCAGGCTTTACCTTGCTCCTGTTCACATCAGCACCCTGGCCCCAGAAGTTTAATCGAGGAAGGGCCCCAGAGTGTCTCTCCACTGGGTAGACTGAGGCAGCGGCCACACAAGCGTAGGATCTCAGTATGACACCCAGGGTAAGACCTGACCGGACCTTTTGTCTCTAAGGTCAACAGTTTTGGCCCTGACGTCGAGGTCACCGCTTCTTCCTGCTACACCTGCTCGGCACGGATCACCGCGGCACCCTTGGCCGTCACGGCACCCTTGGCCGTCACGGCGCACCTGTTGAAAGCCACCCTGTCCTGGCGCTGTGCTACTGGAGGAGCAATGAGGCCCCCGAGGCTGGAGCCGGAGAGCGAGGGGCAGAGACAGAGGGGGGGCGGGAGGGGATGGGGCAGGGCTGCAGGCAGAGGGAGAGCCCTGAGCCAGCTTTTCCTGGGGCTCCTTCTGGAGCGGGAGAGCTGGGGGAAGCGAACGAAGGACGATGGAGCTGGACCAGGTGGAGGCAGAGGGTGGAGGAGACGTGGGCAGACTCTGGGGTGATTTTAGAAGCAGCGCTGACATAATTCGCCGCCAGTTTGCGTGGGGGAGGAGGCAGGCTGGGAATGATGAGGTTTAGGAACAGGCTCACACTATAGTCCAGGCAGGTCACCAGGCCACGTGCCCTGAGTACCCAGCCTTCCCAAGCCAGGTCATGAGCCCACAAACCACACAGGGACCCCAGCAATCACGGGGAGACATGAGGCAGGCCAGTCTGGGGCCGGGCCTCTGGAGCAAGGAGTCCTTAACGTAACTGGATTCTAAAGAGCACGGAGGTAGGGGAGCGCCCATCAGATTGGTGGGAATCACCAGAGCAGACAGCAGACTGGCTGGCCAGGAAGAGGGGGACGGCACCCAGAGCACTCAGCCTTTCCAGGAAGAACCAGGGGAGGCCTCGCTCGGCCTGCCTTTGACCTCCAGCGCCCCCATGACAGACGGCACCAACCCTGGACACACACTCTGTTCACATGTTTAACAGACGGCAGCCGACAGAATGGCCACAGCGGAGGGCGGCGGGACATGGGGAGGGGGCAGGTATGCAGTCGGTGGTGAAGAAATGCTAACCACACTGACTCCTTTAGGGCAGTCAGGGCTGGGGTGCTCCCCATTTTATAGTTGGGGGCACCCTCAAGAGCCGGCCGGGAGGTTGGGGCCCACGCAGGGCGGCTGCGGGATTCTGTGTGAATGACTGATTCGCAGGAAGGACTTCCGGGAGGAGCAGCCCCTGGGGGTCTGGAGTCAGGTTTGTCCAGAGTTTGGAGACCGAGCCTGTGGAAGCTTCTCACGGGGAGGGGACGTTTGCCCTGGGGCTGCCCCGGGACCTGAGCACCTACAACTATCAGGGTCATGGCCACACTAGGCCAGGAGGCTCACAGTGAGACTCGGACCCCGCTGTCCCCCAGACAATCCCTCCAGCAGGGCAAGGGACCGGGGCGCGGGGACCCCGAGTGACAGTGGGGAGGGAGGGGCAGGTGGCAGGAAGCCGGTTCTCGACCACTGGGTTCCAGATGGCAGCCCGCCCGCGGCTGGGGACCTCTGGCTGCCCGGCTCGCCCTCCCTTCCCGGTTTAAGGACAGCTCGCTGGGGAGACCCTGTGTGAGCCACGGGGACCACACGGCCGCTGCGGCCAGCCAGGGGGTGCCGCTGGGGGAGCCTCGGGTTCTGGGGATCCAGAAAGTTCCCGTGACCTCGATGGAGAAGGGAGCGTTCTGTTCTCAGCCGCGCACGCCGCCCTGGAACGCACACCAGCGAGGCTGCTGGTGGCACGAAAGGGGACGTGAGGAAGCTGGGGGTCCCACGGGCTACGCTAGCGTGGCAGCCGGGGCCCGGGGGGAAGGGCCTGGCAGGCTTGGGGTTGACAGGACACCGGCTCGCGCGGCCTGGATGGAGCAGTCACCTCAACACCATCCCTCTGCCCCACACCCCGTTTTAGAGAGAGGTAAACTGAGGCCCACGAGCGGGTGATCGGCGGTGCGTGGCAGGGAGGGACCAGAAGGTGACACTTGCAAGACTGACAGTCCAGCACGGTGGCCCCGGGAAGGGGGTCGCATGGAGACGTTTTCGCCCTTCCCAGCCAGGGAGGGCCCGGAACGGGGTGCCCCGGCCTCCCACGCCGTGGACGCGCCACTCCCCGCAACCCCAGGAGGCAGGCGTGCAGGGCCCGTCTCCATCACCGCAGCCAGGGGTGCCCTCCGCCTCCAAACCCGAGGCCCCCATCCCCGCGCCCGCACGCGGCTAACGGGGCCTCGCTCCCTGCCCAGGCTGCCAGGATAAAGAGCCGCACCCACGCACGGTCCGCGGGTCGGCCGTGTCACCCGAGGACCGAAAACCGGGCCGGGCGCCGCGCACCCCACCGCCCCGGGCGGGGCGGTG